AAATGATGCATGCATGATGGAATTTCAAAATAAGTTGGTTTATACAATCATCATATGCTAACTATGTGTATGTGTTGTATGCAAGACTTATGTCCCTAGGTCAAAGGTCATTGTCACAGCAGGGGATTGAACTAAAGTGTATTCATAATATACCATGAAGTTGTACATGTAAGTGAAGTATGAGATTTTTCAGGTCTGCTGCAGGATTGAATTTCATCATAAATTGGTGGATATGATCAGACAGTATATTACATGCAAGACCTAACCCATTATGTCAAAGCATTGGACTGAACCTAGTTACTCATTCTAGATTATCCTATACTTCAGTTTTCTGGTTCTTTGTTTCTGAAAGTATGATTTGATTTTACCATTTATTTGTACACATCATAAGTAGATAGTGGGTCAGTTTATTATCATTATTATTATCATCATCATCATCAACAGTTTTATTGTCCCCCGCCTTTTCGAAGAAAAAAGGGGGATATAGAAAAAGGCTCCGTCCGTCTGTCCGTCCGTCTGTCCGTCCGTCTGTCCGTCCGTCCGTCCGTCCGTCACACTTTCGTGTCCGGTCCATAACTTTGTCATTTATGAAAGGAATTTGAAATAACTTGGCACAAATGTTTATTATAATAAGACGATGTGTCATGTGCAACAACCAGACCCCTACCTCCAGGGTCAAGGTCGCACTTGCTCATTCAAGGTCAACATTGCCTATTTGAGGGTATATGTCGTGTCCGGTCCATAACTTTCTTATCTATGAAGGGATTTTGTAAATACTTGCCATAATTGTTCACAATAATCAGACGATATGTCATGCGCAAAAACCAGTCACCTACTTTCAAGGTCAAGGTCACACTTGGAGGTCAAATATTAACATAGTCTGTTACAGGATATATTTCGTGTCCGGTCCATAACTTTGTCATTTATCAAAGGAATTTGAAATAACTTGGCACAATTGTTTGTTATAATAAGAGGATGTGTCATGCGCAACAACCAGATCCGTACCTTCAGGGTCAAGGTCGTACTTGCTCATTCAAGGTTAACATTGTCTATTTGAGGGTATATGCCGTGTCCGGTCCATAACTTTCTTATCTATGAAGGGATTTTGTAAATACTTGCCATAATTGTTCACAATAATCAGACGATGTGTCATGCGCAAAAAACGGTCACCTACCTCCAAGGTCAAGGTCACACTTGGAGGTCAAATACTTACATAGTCTGTTACAGGGTATATTTTGTGTCCGGTCCATAACTTTTTCATAGATCCAAGGATTTTGAAAATACTATGCACAAAAAGTCACTATAATAAGAGGATGTGTCATGCGCAACACCTGCATCCCTACCTCCAAGGTCAAGGTCACACTTAGAGGTCAAAAATTAACATAGTCTGTTATAGGGTATATTTTGTGTCAAATCTAGAACTTCTTCATAGTTCAAGGGATTTTAAAATAACTTGGCACAAATAGTCACCATAATAAGACAATATGTAAGGTACAACACCTGCACCCCTACATCCAAGGTCAAGGTCACACTTAGAGGTCAAAGGTTAACAGAGTCTGTTATTTGGTATATTTTTTGTCCCGTCCATTACTTCTTCATAGATTAAGGGATTTTGAAAATACTTGGGACAAATAGTCACAATGATTAGACGATATGTCATGCGTAACATCTGTGTCCCTACCTCCAAGGTCAAGGTCACACTTAGAGATCAAAGATTTACATAGTCTGTTATTATAAGGGTATATTTTGTGTCCAATCTATAACTTCTTCATAGTTCAAGGGATTTTGAAAATACTTGGCACAAATAGTCTCAATAATAAGACGTTATGTCATGCACAACACCTGCTTCCCTACCTCCAAGGTCAAGGTCACACTAAGAGGTCAAATCTTAACATGATAGATTTTTAAATTCCGTGTTTCATTTTATTTTTTTAACAAATTTATTGGTACATTTGCAGATCTAGCATTGATCATAATTTTGGAGTAAATGTCCTGAGATCCATTATAACCTCAATCTTTTGAAATAGCACAATTTTATGCTTCATATAAAATTTCCCGAGGCGGGGGACGTTGGTAACTCTGTTACAAATTCTTGTTATTATTATTATTATTATAATTATACCCCCAAAAACGAAGTTTGGTGGGGGGGGTATATAGGAGTCACCCGTTGGTCGGTCGGTTGGTCGGTCCAGACGTCTGTTGCATTTTCTTTGTCCGGAGCATAACTTGAAGACTAATGGTTGGAATTCAATATAACTACATACAATGGTCAAGCACATTGAGAAGAAGTGCAGTGCACAAGAACCATAACTCTGTCTAAAGTAATTACAGAGTTATTGCCCTTTGTTACTTTTCCATTGCTTTCTTTTGTCCGGACCATAACTTGAAGACTAATTGTTGGAATTTATTATCACTTTATACAATGGTCAAGCACATTTAGAGGAAGTGCAGTGCACAAGAACCATAACTCTATCGTGACTAATTACAGAGTTATTGCTCTTTGTTACTTTTCCTTGTCCGGGGCATAACTTGAAAACTACTGGTTGGAATTAAAAACAACTTCATACAATTGTCAAACACAATAAGGGGAAGTGCAGTGCACAAGAACCATAATTCTATCTAAAGTAATTACAGAGTTATTGCCCTTTGTTACTTTTCCATTTGCTTTTTTTTCCGGAGCTTAACTTGAAAACTAATGGTTGGAATTCAATATAACTTCATACAATGGTCAAGCACATTTAGAAGAAGTGCAGTGCACAAGAACCATAAATCCATCTTGACTAATTACAGAGTTATTGCCCTTTGTTACTTTTCCTTGTCCAGAGCATAACTTGAAAACTACTGTTTGGAATTCAATACAACTTCATACAGTTGTCAAGGACATTAAAAGGAAGTGCAGTGCACAAGAGCCATAACTCCATTTTGACAAAATACAGAGTTACTGCCCTTTGATACTTTTCCTTGTCCGGAGCATAACTTAAAACGTACTGGTTGGAATTCAAAACAACTTCATACAATGGTCAAGCACAATAAGAGGAAGTGCAGTGCACAAGAACTATAACTCCATCTTCAGTATTTATAGAGTTATTGCCATTTGTTCCTTTTCCTTGTCTTTCTGGACTTATTACAGAGTAATTCAATAAAACTTCATCAATGGCCAACCACATTGAAAGGAAATGCAACATACAAGAACCACAACTATCTTTAATTGCCCACAACCATAACTCTATATTTCAATTCTTTTACAAGGTATTCTGTTACTAGTAACATCCTCATTTCCGAAGCAGTCTTGTGGGGGTATTAATCACATTTAGTGATAGTTCTAGTTATTATTATTATTATTATTATTATTATTATTATTATTATTATTATTATTATTATTATTATTATTATTATTATTATTATGCCCCCATTTCGAAGAAAAGGGGGTATATTGCTTTGCACTTGTCGGTCCGTCGGTCTGTCGGTCCGTCGGTCCGTAGACCAAATGGTTTCCGAGTGATAACTAAAGAAACCTTAGGCCTAGGAACTTCAAACTTGGTATGGTGATTGGTCATGACAAGTAGATGACCCCTATTGATTTTGGGGTCAAGGGGTCAAAGGTCAAGGTCACATTGACCTTGTAAGCAAAAACGGTTTCCGATCAATAACTAAAGTACCTAAAGGCCTAGGAATTTCAAACTTGGTATGGTGATTTGTCATGATCAGTAGATGACCCCTATTGATTTTGGGGTCAAGGGATCAAAGGTCAAGGTCACATTGTCCTTGTAAGCAAAAATGGTTTCCGATCAATAAGTAAAGAACCTTAAGGCCTAGGAACTTCAAACTTGGTATGGTGATTGGTCATGATCAGTAGATGACCCCTATTGATTTTGAGGTCAAGGGGTCAAAGGGTCACATTGACCTCTTGGGTAAAAACGGTTTCCCATCAATAACAAAAGAACCCTTAGGCTTAGGAACTTCAAACTTGGTATGGTGATTGGTTATGACCAGCAGATGACCCTATTGATTTTGGGGTTAAGTGGTCAAAGGTCAAGGTCACATTGACCTTGTAGGTAAAAACGGTTTCCGATCAATAACAAAAGAACCCTTAGGCCTAGGGACTTCAAACTTGATATGGTGATTGGTCATGATCAGTAGATGACCCTATTGATTTTGGGGTTAAGGGGTTCAAAGGTCAAGGTCACATTGACCTTGTAGGTAAAAACGGTTTCCGATCAATACGAAAAAAAACCCTAGGCCTAGGGACTTCAAACTGGTATGGTGATTGGTCATGATCAGTAAGATGACCCTATTGATTTTGGGGGTCAAAGGGGTCAAAAGTAAAGGTTTTCACAATTGAGACCCCTCTTAGGAAATAAAAAAGTTTTCCGATCAATAAATAAGAACCCTTCAGGCCTAGGAACTTCAAGCTTGGTATGGTGATTGGTCATGATCAGTAGATGACCCCTATTAGTTTTTTGGGGTCAAAGGGCAAGGTCACATTGACCTTGTAGGTAAAAATGCTTTCCGATCAATAACTTAAGAACCCCTTAGCCCTAGGAACTTCAAAACTTGGTATGGGTGATTGGTCATGACCAGCAGATAACCCTATTGTTTTTAGGTCCAAGGGTCAAAGGTCATTAACATTGACCTTGTAGGAAAAAACGGTTTCCGATCAATTTACTAAAAACGCTTAGGCCTAGGAACTTCAAAAACTTTGTATGATGATTGGTTTTATGGACCAACAGAACCCCCTATTGAGTTTGGGGGTCAAGGGGTCAAAGTCAAGGGTCACATTGACCTTGTAAGTAAAAATGGTTTCTGATTAATAACTAAAGAACGCTTAGGCCTAGAAGTCATGCATAATTACCTTATCACATGAATAATTGGCTGCTGATAGGGGGCATACATGTTTTACAAACATATCTTGTTATTATAGTGTTTGAGTTGTTAAAGTTGTTGACTTCATTAACTTTTCTGAGAAGATATTTTTTATCATATTTGTTATGTTATTTAAGGTATACATTATGTTGGTAAAATGATGGATGGAGACATGACTAGAGTACTCACTGACCAGATTACTGAGGGACAGGTTGTCTGGGAACCAATGGATAAAGAGTTTGACTCCGTATGTAAAGCTTCAAACATCAGAAATAAATGCTAATTTTTTTTATTAATTATATTAAAATGTTATGCATATGGTGCTTTTTTAAATATTATTGATTTATCATTGAAGATAACTTAAGTTGTAGTTAAGATCCGTCTCAAAGTAAGTTGATAACTCATTTTTATCTTTGCACATGTACATGTATATACAGGGGTCTGAATTTTCTTATTTTCAGGTTGCCCTTGGAGACCCAAGTAAATCTACACTGAAATGGTTCACACTGACATCTGGCTCTAGGCAAGAGTTTGCCAACCATCTTAAAAAACAGTTTCCTGATGAAGAGGCGGCAATAGAGAAATTCATGACACTGTTGAATGTGAGTTAATTGTTATATATTGAAATATTAATAAGGAGTAATAAACTGAATCTAATTAAATGTCAGTGTAAAATTATTAGTGATTTTAATAGTATTACATAAAATAGGGAAAATATATTTGAATATTCATAGTATATTGTGTAAATAAGAGAAATACAAGCCAAACTGAGATCTTACGAGGGCTGTTCAAAAAGTTCGTGGACTGCGGTTCTACTGTTCACATCTTTTAATTTGCGTATATGATTTTACAAGAGATATATATGAAAATATGTCCTGAATAAACAGTGAAAATTCAATAAATATGTTTAAGATAACAATTCTGTGACAGTAACGAATCACAAGGGGTGCACAAACCGGCGCACGCTGATGATTGAAACAAAATGACGTTTTGTGACGTCGCAATAATAAATGAAACATTTTACCAGCGCATTGTTTCTGAAAGTACACTTTTTATTGTTCAATATCTGCGGATCATATACCAAAACCATGTTTCTGTTTGTATTGATGACCCGAGATATTAAAGTGGTAATCTTTTTGCTATTCTCCGTATAAAGGTCCGAGTGCCGCATACTTTCACCGCTCTTTATCGGGAATTTTTTGAGTATTTTGGAACCTAAAGGACAGTGTTATTAAGTTAAATTAATTTGTTGATTTATATATCAACCTGAAACCGCCCATCGTCTGATCTTTGAAAAAAATGAATATTCAATGATAAAGAAAAAATATTTTACCAACTGACAATAATTCTATGCGGTAAATCTCTGAACACCGGCTAGCATTAAATTAAAAACAGACCGAGTAAACACACGTAATACAAATAAAAATTATTGGTTGTAGATACGCATATATCCTGATAAATGAAAAAAAAATTGTATTTAAAATTAAAAATTAAATTGTTTTGTCAGAATTGAATCCATAGACCCATGCAGAAATTAAAAAAATGTCGGACATTCGCAAATCTTTCATACTTTGGACTTCTGTAGAATTTTTTTGCAATTGACGTTACAAACGTCCCAAAAATTGCCCGCCTAAAAAAATTTCCCGTCGCCCTTTCTGTCTGTGAGGCATGTATTTGCCGTATTTGAATCGCTTGCGCAGACATGAAAACCAACCAAATTTGCTCGCCAAACTATTGTTCTTTGTTAATTTAATCACCTCATAAAAAATATGAACGGATTAGTCCCAAAATTTATTGGTAAAATTGAAAGAGCGAATTTCTAGTTTTTAAATGGGCTTTATCTCCCCAACTAACCCGTCTGTCTACTGCTACTCAAACCTGTTTGTTTAGCTATTCAACGTCCAAACGATGTCAAATTTCAGATTTATGTTATTTAAATATTAGTAGATGATTACTGGATTTTACTTCATAAAAAACAATCATTCAGTTTGTTTCACCCATTTGTTTTATATTTTAAACATTATACGAAAATTTTGGCGTGCCGCCGATGTTGCATTGCCATGGTTATTCAAAGTGCACATAACTCGTTTAAAGGAAATATAAGTTTTACAAATAAAAGTAAATCTTACTTGTAGAAATAAAAACACTCTTTCGATTCATATCCACTTAGGGTGTTTTTATGAATCAAGCAAAAAATGACAGCAAAAGTCCACGAACTTTTTGAACATACCTCGTATCAGTCATTTTGTACATAATGGTCTAAACATGATGTTATAAATAGTTATCAGCATATTTTTTATTGATAACTGATTGAATATATTATTTAAACTCTGCTCTTTTCAGTTGTTTGGATGTCGGGATGTAATGATCTCTGTAAAGTACTGCAAAATCATTATTTTTCATAAAAGAATCTTATTTTCGTGTTTTTGGTGGATAGGTCAATCCATGAATATAAGATCTTACAAAATTTCATAATGTCTGCTGTTAGATTATTTTACATTGCACTATTTGCATTTTACCTTTTGAGAAAAATGAACAGTCCACAAATTTAAGAACCCACGAAAATATTCATTAATATGAAGAAAAAAATTTCATGCCCACAAAATAAAGTAAATTTACAGTACATGCCGTCACTTGTTTATCTCATACTTGTAGGATTGTAGAGGGGCGTTTATGGGTATAATGATTCCCAAGATGATGCCGTTGTGGTTAGCCAAGTTTGTGATACAGACAGGGATATATCAGCTTTTTATGCGCAAGTTTATGAAACTCTCTAAACTAACGTTGAAGGACGCTCTGGATGGCATGACTGATGATGCAGACTTTAAAGCGGTTGTGTCATATATATTTGGTGATATAGGTAAGAATAATAACAATATAATAACGCTCGGCTGTTTTCATTATTTTTCTAATTGAAAAAAATGGGGGTATTAGTATGACTTTCTTGTTGGTGCCACCATTTGTTTATCATTTCCTTATGCCCATTTCTCAGAAACATGCAAAACATGCACTTCAAACAATTTCAAAATTGTCAATGTTTTACCTTTTAAAAAATATACATAAATCTTAAGGCATCCTGCTTTGAAATGTTAACTTCAGTATTGTTTAACTTTTTAAACATTTTATTTCAATCCAATACTGAAACTATTGAATCCGATATTGAAAATATTGATTTAAAAGTTGTTCACTGCAAGTAGTTAATGAGTATGTGAGGTATTAAAATGTCAATGGTCAAAATATCTGTCTCTGAAACCAATGTCATGTCTAACATCATCATGAACTTTGCTCAAATGATACCAATATAAGAAAGGGAAGTCCAAAATAAAGATTCAAAGTGGTTAAGAACTTAGTTTCACAAATAACCTAATAATAGATACAATTCAGCTATGTTTTATAAAGTTATGATTACCTTGAAGGTGTGTTGCCTAGTGAGTTAAGTGTTGTGAACTACGCAGCTTTGATCAACCATTACCTGCCAGGTGCCTTCTATCCATTAGGTGGTACTAGTGAGATCGCATTCCAGATTGTTCCAATCATAGAGAAGTATGGGGGACGTGTTTTTGTTGATGCACCTGTCACCCAGATATTGTTAAATGATAAAGGAAAAGCACATGGTATGTTTGTATTGAATTTTACTGATATTTGTATGTAAGATTTTTTTTATTTGTGTATGACAGATAGATACTGTTATTTTGGTTCAATATTCGTATCTGTAATTTAAGTTGAATAAGATGTTTGACAATGGCTAGGAGATTACCTCATTCTATAAGTATTCATAAAGGTGAGGGATGAAGATCATTATAATTCTGGATACAAAGAACTGGAGAATGCACGAATTTTCAAAATTTCATTGGATCAACAATAACCTGCTTAATTCTTGTAATATAAAAGTATGTTAAAGGTTAATGTCACAGTGAGTGAGTGACCATGACCTTCACAAATTAACAATTACTGTGCCTAGGACGAGATAACAGACAATAAATTATTTGTAGACTTATATAAAACAATAGTGTGAGTATTGTAAGGTCTTATTTTCTGTTTGTATTTCTACTGCAGGTGTACGTATAAGAAGAAATAACAATGACATAGATTTGTTTGCTAAGAGGATAATATCAGACGCAGGTGTAATCAATACATTCAAACATTTGCTACCTCAGGAAGTGGCCGTTAAAGCTCGTAAGTGAATTACACTTTATATATACAGACTGTAATTTAACTACAGGTTCAAGTTTAATAGAACGTTATACCTTTTGTTGTCTAAAAGATGGGTATACCATCAAGGTTCCGTATATTTATCAACAAGGCAGTTATTCCCACATTTGGAAATGAAATGATCCATTTATTTGATTTTTAGCCCTACTACTCTAAGAATAGGGAAAGCTATTGTAATCACCCAGGTGTTGGTGTCCGCGTCTGTGTCAAACCTTCTTTTTTTAAGCCTTTGCATGCAAGTTAGTATCTAAAAAATACTGATGTGAATAAGTTGAAACAGTAGTAGGTCACTGTCAGAGGCCCATAAGTCAGAATTATGGCCTTTTTATGCCCCCGCCATGTAATGGCCGGGGCATATAGTGTTACCCTGTTCCGTCCTTCCGTCCTTCCGTCATTCCGTCCTTCCGTCATTCCGTCATTCCGTCATTCTGTCATTCCGTCATCATCAGTTTCCGTTCATTATCTAAGTAACGGTTGCACACATTCAACTCAAATTTGACATATGGATATGTCATGAGAAAATACAGGTCAAGTTCGAATTTGGTCATGGGTTCGATGATTTTTGGCAGAGTTATGCCCCTTTTACTTTAAAAAATAATATGAAATTTTCAGTTTCCGTTCATTATCTCCCCAACGATACAACACATTCAACTCAAACTTGACATATGGATATGTCATGAGAAAATATAGGTCAAGTTCGAATTTGGTCATGGTTCGATGATTTTTGGCAGAGTTATGCCCCTTTTACTTTGAAAATTATATGAAATTTTCAGTTTCCGTTCATTATCTCCCCAAAGGTACAACACATTCAACTCAAATTTGATATATGGATATGTCTTGAGAAAATACAGGTCAAGTTCGAATGTGGTCATGGTTCGATGATTTTTGGCAGAGTTATGCCCCTTTCACTTTGAAAATAATATGAATTTTCAGTTTCCATTCATTATCTCCCCAACGGTACAACACACATTCAACTCAAACTTGACATATGGATACATCAAAGGAATGCGCAGGTCAAGTTCAAATTTGGTCGTGGTTCAATGATTTTTGGCAGAGTTATGCCCCTTTCACTTTGAAAATAATATGAAATTTTCAGTTTCTATTTATTATCTCCCCAACAGTACAACACATTCAACTCAAATTAAACATATGGATACGTTTTTGGAATGCCCAGGCCAAGTTCGAATATGGTCATGGTTCAATGATTTTTGGCAGAGTAATGCCCCCTTTACTTTGAAAATAATATGAAATTTACAGTTTCTGTTCATTATCTACCCAACAGTGTTACATATTCAACTCAAATTTGACATATGGATATGTCAAAGGAATGGGTAGGTCAAGTTGGAATTTGGTCATGGTTCGATGATTTTTTGGCAGAGTTATGTCCTTTCACTTTGAAAATAATATAGATACATCTTAGGAATAAGCAGTTTAAGTTTGAATTTGGTCGTGGTTCAATGATTTTGGACAAACTTATCTTTTTTGAATGTTGGAAAAATTTTGAACTTTCAGTTTCAGCACTCATACTTTTGTGGAAAGTTTGAATTTGGTCGTGGTTCAATGATTTTGGACTTATCTTTCTTGAATGTTGGAAAAAATTTTGAACTTTCAGTTTTCAGCACTCATACTTTTGTGTGAAATGTATGTAGCCATTATTTTGGCTACAAATATGAAATATGCTATTTTCAAAAGGTTAAGACTAAATAATTTCAGTGCTTTGAACATTGTATGAAAATGGTTTGTGTTAACATTGAAAAGTTTTAAGGGCTTTGAACTGCAAATGAAAAAAATAATTTGTGCAAACAAATTTGGAACTAAATATTATAACATCTGAAATTTTGGCTGCATGCGGGGGCATCCGTGGCATGATGACACATTTCTAGTTTGAACTTAGAAATTTCTGTATTATCCAGGTTCTTGTGGGTTTTTTTAAGAACTGACAATTGTCAAGTGTGTTGTCTTGTGATAGCTCTTGTTTATTGTAGTTTTGGCTTGAGGATAGCATATGTTTCTTAAATGTTTTCATTTAGTATTCTTCCATTAAAGTCGTCTATATGTTTTAAATATTTTACATATGAAAAATAAGCATCCATCTGTTAAAGTTAATTTCTGTAATTCATAAGAATGATCCGAGTCAAATACATAAAAATTGTGCAGTGTTTGCTCAGGATGGTGTAAAAATTAGTGAAAAGTACTAAACAGACTTTCAATAATTTGTAATTTTTTTTGATGATATGTTTTTAGCAAGTCTCAAAATCTGTACCATAAACTAGATTAATTATGTCCAGAGATTTCAGTTTGTGGAATTTGTCTGCAAATGAAATTGCTCTATTTCGTTTGAATTTTGCTGAAATATTTACCATACGGTGCTGTGCATTAAATTAAAAATTTATACATTAAATGAGCTGATTTAATGGACTCTGTCTATTTACATACTGCTTTGGACTTGAATTGGCAGGGCTAACTGTAAGTCTGTTATAGGTTATATAGAGTTTTAAGAAACTAATTTTCTCCCTTTACTTCGTTCAAAAATTTATTTCTTAAAACTGTAAATAACCTATAACCTATACTTACAGACACTATCATGAACTACATGTATCTCAAGTTTTATCAAAGTTGATATCAGATGTATCAATATTACAGCATTATACAAATACATCAATGGAATTGGTCCAAGTGTGTCATGCCTTACTGTGTTCGCTGGTTTCGAGGGTACAAGTTCAGAGCTAGGGCTTAATAAAGGGAATACCTGGGCATTTATGCAGTAAGTTTGAAATATTTTACAAATCTGATTTTGGGAAAAAATGAATGGCTTCACAATTAGTGGTATATTCATGCATTCTAATTAAGATAATTTATGTAGCGCATGTTATGCTTCATAAATTGTACAGTTTAGAACGAATGTTAGATTCTTATAGAAATTTTCTGAATAGAAGCAAAAATACATGATGTCATGTTATTCTTTGACCTTTAAGAGACTTGGTGTCCAACTTCAAAGCACTTTTCCTTCACCACTGTTTATATGAATGTTGAACTTCTCCATGTAATGGTATTCAATTAGCTTATGCAAAGTTGGTGGTTTTACTTTGATTCATCCTCATTGCATAATTATGATTATGTGTTTAATGTACTTCTGTATGGTTGGTATAAACCTATTATTATACCAGTATGCCCCCCCCCCATCCTCTTGTTTATGTAATTATATGTATGATGGCTTTTACCATTAAAAAGCTTGAATGTTCATATGATAAGCCCTGAAGTGGTGAAAGTGACTGAAAAAATAACAATCTCGCATACAAATTTAAACAAAAGAACAAAAAAAAAAACACAACAACAACAAAACATAACTTATATTTTATTGTAGGAATGATCTAGAACAGGAGTTAAAGACATATGTTTCAATGAGTGTAGAGGACGCAGCAGATAGTGACTGTCCCCTCATGTTTATATCATTCCCGTCTGCTAAAGATTCAGCCTGGGAGGACCGATTTCCAGGTATTTAAATCCGGTAGTTGTATCTGAAAATATAATTTCTCGACTAGTGATAAAAAGTTTTCTGACTTAATATCACTTTCTACTTTTACTTTGATTTTAAATCTGTCAGTTTATTGATTTGTTAATATAATCAGAGGCTTTGTTAATTACCTTGTTACCATGGCAATAGTTTTGTTGTCTGAGACTGCAAACAACTATTTGTATTTGTAAATATTTATCTTTGAAGGAAAATCAGTAGCTTTGTTGATAACCTTGTTACCATGGCAATGGTTCAACAAATGGGAAGGTGGGAGAGTAAAGCATCGTGGGGATGATTATAATGATCTCAAGGAGAGAATCGCCAAACAGATGTGGCGGCAGTGCGAGCAACTGTTCCCAAAACTAGAGGGAAAGGTAAATCATATGAGGGAGTCATACTGACTCACAGATGTTGGATTTACTTACTTTTCCGACAGCATTTTATATTTGAAAGGAAAAAATGAATTGGAGTATTGTAGTATTTGATTTAGAAATAAGGTCAATATTTTTTTCTTTTGGGGCCTTCTTTTGCTACAAATGAAATCTAAGGAAAATACAAGAGTTTCGTATTTTATTTTGCCAATGACAACTAGTCTGTTTGCTATAGCAACCTGTTATTATGTAATATAAATTTGATTTATTATTATAAATCTGTTTTAGAAGTTTAACAAGGTCCTAGGTTCTACAAAAGTGTCCACTGTACAAAGGTGAATCTTGATCAAGTTGCAATAATTATCTCAACAAACAAAAAAGTTGTTGATAGAAAATGTATTTTGAATTATTTGTTTTTTTCAGCTTGCATATCTTGATGTTGGTTCACCATTGTCCAACAAATATTATCTTGGACAGCCAGAAGGCGAAATGTATGGTCTTGGCCATGGATTACAAAGGTTTGATCCAGAAATGTCCATGCACCTGAGAGCTGAATCAGGGATCCCAGGACTTTGGCTTACCGGTATTGATTCATTTATCATCAAGATTTATGTTTTACTCCTACATTATCTACATTTTGTTACATCTATAACTATATTTAAAGAAAGTAGGCTCTATTCATTTGGTAAAAATGTAAATTTTATGGTAGACCACTTTGTTGTTGTAATACATTTAGCTGCAAATTGGTTTATCATGTTATCTTGTTCATAGTGTAAAGACGCGCTAAATGTTAGCATTATACTATATGCGCTTCAATGAAAAATTTCTCTTTTTTCACTATAAACAGTCTTTATTTTGGGTATATGATAAATAGAATATTAAATTTGTGTAAGTTCATTACTGGATTTATTGCACTTGTTGAATAAAATAATAGTATGCTCGCCAGAGGCTCGCATAATGTTCTTTTATTCAACTTGTGCAATAAATTCATTATTGAACTTACACTCATTCAATATCCTCTATTTATGTAGAGAGGCTGTCTAAAGAGTTTTTGTAAAGTTTGTATTTCTACCAAAGGGACCATTTACGACTATTGTAACTCATGGTATGAACTACCGTATAAGTACTTTTTTCTGCGGGAACTTTATTTCTGCTATTTCTGCGGTTTGAAACGACACCGCAGATTTAAAAACCACAGAAAATTTAGCCTTTCGCTTTGTCTACATGTATGTCGGAATATGTCAACTACCTGTATTGTATACTTACATTACCATGTACCGTTATCAGCTTTTGTAGATGGGAATAATTTTTCTTTATGTATCCGTCAGGAATAAAGTATTAGAAAAAAGTAACTTTACTTGTTCTTTTTGTTTAAAAAAATACCATGTTTGTATGATTTTCGCTCACCCTATGCTTGATTTATTTTGAAAATAAAACTATAATTATAGTTTGACAGGTGCAATAAACATACCCTTTTGTATTTGTACAATATATTGTGTCTGCGTGTGATATTACCATTATTTATTTTTCACACTTCATATTTATACACATGCAATATTGCAGTTAATTGTTGTCATTGAACGTTGTTGGTTTTTGTTTATTTACGTTTTGTTTATTGCGTTCATTGAACGCCGCCTTTCCTTTTTGATGTTGTTTATCATATTTATATACCGATACATGGTGATCACGATGAACACACATTATAAGTCGTCTGCATGTTTACCGGAAGTAATGTACATGTAACATCAACATATCTTGAAATGGTGTCTGTTTGTATCGGTTAATTTTGTAATAATAGCTAAATTAAAACGCAGAAATTAAAATCATCAATGCGAATATGATGCCACAGCAGAAATAAGAAACGCAGAAATTTAAAACCCCTTATTTTAACCAAAATCGCAGAATTTTAAGCCCGCAGAAATAAGTACTTATACGGTAATTTGAAAAAAAAAGATGACAATATTAGTAAGACAGAAATGATCCAAGAAGTAAAAAAAATGTTTGCATAATATGAGAGGACAAGACATTGGTACTGTCAAATCTCTTATATATTTCAGGACAGAAAAATGTTACATGTTAAATCAAAGTTCTTTCATATTTTAGGACAGGACTTTGTTACTTTTTTATTCAGGGGTCCTGTTATATTTTAGGACATAACATTTTTACATGTTTATTCAAAGATTTTTCAATATTTCAGGACAGGACATTGTCACATGTGGATTCAGTGGTGCTTTACATGCTGGTGTGATTACAGCATCTAGAATTCTACATAGAAATCTTGTCAATGACCTCACAGCTGTTACCAAGGAAACCAGAAAGTTGATGAAAATGACAAGTGCGAATGGGAAAAAAACAAATTGACATTGTTTTGTTTTATGTATCAATAATTTGTTCCATGGGTTGTGTTACGGTTATAAAAATACTAAATTTAAGAGTTTAAGATAAAAGAAATTTGCAATTTATATTCATTCAAAAATTCTGGAATGGAAAATGATTTTTTTCTATGAAAATGCAAAATAATCTTATCTATGCAAATGTACTATATTAAACCTATTACCTTAGAAATAGTATGCACCAAGTAGAAAACATAGGTATAAATTTAATCTGTGTTCATATATAGGAATTTTAATTCATATAAGTTGTTATATTTTTTATAATTTATGAAATGAGAAATTTGAAAGCATATAATTTAGTTTACTGCATATGTTTTAGCAGAAATTAGAAAACAGTTAAGACATATTTTTCAAATAAAAAAAAAGTATATAAAGAAAACTCAACACAAGACATCATCATTTGTATGTTGCTTCATTATGTTCATTGTGATAATTTCCATTATAGATTTGTGTTTAGATATTTAAATTCCTTACAATTCATATGGTCTCTTACAATGTCAAATCCTATCAAATTTAATAAAGAAATTGGGCAGATAATGATTTGATACAGAAATAAAAACATGCATGATCCATAAATTTAGAATGCCATTGTTAATCACATTCTTAAACTGTGTATTAGTAACATACAATGTATGTTGTTATTGCACCTGTATAGTCTACTTTTAGTTCATAATGATTTGTACTTACATATATTATTTCATAATTCTGTATCAGTGTACATGTAAATTAACTTTAAAGTGATAAAGTACTAGATTAAGTCTAGTCTAAATGCAAAGCTCTTAAATTCAATTATTTGGTATCTTTTAACATTGTAAGTAACAAATGAGGGAATTTTACAACTGATTTAATGAGTTATTACCCTTTGTGTAATTTCATAGATTTTTGTTCAAGGTTTAATCCAAAAAGCCATGCATGATATTGATGTTTATCTGATATTATTTGTTTTGTCATTGTCCTCCATTTATTTGTTATTTTTACAGAAAATCTTGTCATGTTAAGTTTTTTTAAATATCCTTCTAACAATTTTTATTTTTTGTAACATTTCTACATTTACATTTCAAGCGCTTTACCTCATTGCTTTATGCAACATGTATTCTTTATTCATTTAATATTTGGTGTACTGAAATGGCAATATTATTGAGATATTTGCTCATTTGTGGCCCTTGTATGATATAATAGTCCTCATTAATGGCCCTTGTATAAAATACTCTGCATGATTGCTCCTTGGATAAAATATTAGTCGGCTGTATTGTTCATCAAATAAAATATTTGCCCTCAATGTCGATCCTTAGATAAAATGATGATCCTGGTTATCAGTCCTTGTCTAATTATTGGTCTTGGATAAAATGTTTATCCTCATTTTTGGTTGTCTCATTAGTCCTCAGATAAACTAATGGTGTTAAATATTGTTCTTTGGATAAAATGATGTTGGTCCTCAGATAGAGCATATTTTCAAATAAAGTTATTTGTTTCTAGGTTAGCTTCTAGTACTTGTGATGATGTATGGAGTGCCAGATATGTATATTTCCTGTGTGTAGTGTAATAGGGTTAGAGTGTGTAAATTATTTTGAATGTATGTAGTGCATTTTGATCAAAGACACATTATTGTTCCTATATTGAAATCTTGTTATTTTAATGGGAAACCTTCATTAAAGGGATATTCCATGTCATGATGTGACGAAAATAAGATCAGTAAAACCCGAGATACAGATGTTGATAAGTGTTTTATTTATTGTATTCGTTATTTTGGATAATTATATACAGTAAAACCTTTGTAGAGCAACAACCTGTGGGAGACCAAAAAATACAGTTGTGGCTGAGAGGTGTTGCCCTACAGAAGTAAAATTTAGTCTTTCTTTGTGAAAATATGATACTGTTGTTGTAAAGAGGTGGTCGCTGCAGAGGTGGATGCTTGACAGAGAGGTGAAGTAAACAATTTAAATTCATTGTGAAGTCTTACTTTCTTCAAAATATGAAACTGTTTTAGCTCACCTGTCACAAAGTGACAGGGTGAGCTTTTGTGATCGCTTTTCGTCCGGCGTCCGTCCGTCGTCCGTCCGTAAACTTTTACTTTAAATGACATCTCCTCATAAACCACTAAGCCAATTTCATACAAACTTCACAGGAATGTTCCTTTGGTGGTCACCTTTAAAAATTGTTCAAAGAATTTAATTCCATAACTCTGGTTGCCATAGCAACCGAAAGAAAAAACTTTAAATATCTTCTTTTAAAAAACCATAAGAGCTAGAGCTTAGATATTTGGCATGAAACATCTTCTAGTGAGTGTCTACCAAGTTTCTTCAAATAAAAGCCCTTGGGTCAAAATTGGCCCCGCCACGGGGGATCATTGATTTTCCCTATATGCATAAAGTAAAAACTTAAAAAATCTTCTTTTAAAGAACCCAAAGAGCTAATGCTAAGATATTTAGCATGAAACATGTTCTAATGGGTGTCTACCAAGTTTGTTCAAATAAAAGCCCTGGGGTCAAAATTGGCCCCGCCCCGGGGGGTCATTGATTTTCCCTAAATGCATATAGTAAAAACTTAAAAAATTTACTTTTAAAGAACTCAAAGAGCTATGGCTAAGATATTGTGCATGAAACATGTTCTAATAGGTGTCTACCAAGTTTGTTCAAATAAAAGCCCTGGGGTCAAAATTGGCCCCGCCCCAGGGGGTCATTGATTTTCCCTACATGCATATAGTAAAAACTTAAAAATTCTTCTTTTAAAGAACCAAAAGAGTTAGAGCTAAGATATTTAGCATGAAACATGTTCTAATAAGTGTCTACCAAGTTTGTTCAAATAAAAGCCCTGGGGTCAAAATTGGCCCCGCCCCGGGGGTCATTGATTTTCCTTATATGTGTATAGCAAAAACTTAAAAAATCTTCTTTGAAAAAACCCAAATAGCTAGAGTTAAGATATTAAGCATGAAACATCTTTTAGTGAGTGTCTACAAAGTTTGTTCAAATAAAAGACCTGGGGTCAAAATTGGCCCCGCCCCGGGGGTCATTGATTATCTTTTTATGTGTATAGCAAAAACTTAAAATCTTCTTTGAAAAAACCCAAATAGCTAGAGTTTAGATATTAAGCATGAAACATCTTCTAGTAAGTGTCTACAAAGTTTGTTCAAATAAAAGCCCTGGGGTCAAAACTGGCCCCGCCCCAGGGGTGTCATTGTTTTTAACTATATGTGTAAAGTAAAAACTTTAAAAAAAATCTTCTTTTAAAAAGCCCAATGAGCAAGAGCTTAGATGTTTAGCATGAAACATCTTCTTATGGGTGTCTACCAAGTTTGTGCAAATAAAAGCCCTTGGGTTAAATTGGCCCTGCAACGTTGGGGGGGGGGGGGCGGGGGGTTGGGGGGCCTATATACAGGTGAGCGACCTCAGGGCCATCATGGCCCTCTTGTTGAAAAAAGTGGTTGCTCTACAGTGGACTTCTTTACAGAGGTTTTACTGTAAATCTAGATTAAGTATCAATTTGTATATTACTTGTTTACTGCCTCTTCACTAAAGTTGTGATTTATTATGCTCAAGATTATTACAATCATTAACATACATGTTTTGATGCCATTCTTTATATAGCAGGGAATTAAGTTTATTCACAAGCCAAAATTTTCAAAAATATTTCCTGATAAGCTTAGAGATTGAGGTTTAATGAAGCACTAACTCTGGTAATTAAATTTAAGCAGAGGGGAATAAAAAAGAATCCTTTTTCATTATTTTTATTTTTTCTTAAAAAAATACTACAATTTTCATCTTAAGAAGATTGATGGTTAATTATTATTGTTATATTCCAATTGAAATATTTTTCCCCAAATTGATTATTCCTAATTATACAAGGGAAAATAATGTTGAATGTAGAGACTTGCATATTTGTGTATTTTGACATAGCAAGGTCACACACTATATATAGTCTATAATAATATTTGGTAATACAATATACATAATTGTTACAAAGTAGTCATCTTTATTTAACCATAGTCCTGGAATTGTGTGGCTTAGAATTAACTGTAATTCTAGGGGTTTTGTTTTCACATTAAAATAATAGTTGGGAATATACTCTTCAATAACAAGTACATCAGTGTTTAGAGTATAAATTTACCATTTGTCTTGTAGGGTAATGATATTTTACAAGGATGTATGTTCCTCTCAAAGTCTAAGTCCTGACAATTTTGAAGGGGTTGAGGTGAAATTATAAAGGGTTGGGGTGAAATTATAAAGGTTGGGGTGAAATTATAAAGGGTTGGGGTGAAATTATAAAGGGTTGGGGTGAAATTATAAAGGGTTTTTGGCGGAGTTATAAATGAGTTGTTAAGTTATAAATGACTTGTGCGTTAGTGATTGGTTATTTGTTTACCATGAATTTATACCTATACACAAAGTCTATATAGTCCTATGTAATATTTTGATTTCTACATTCTTAATAAAAAATCATTTTTGACAGATTTTGTATTTTACATTATATGTGACACCCTGTGAAGTCTACCTTTTGCAATTATAGTTGGAAGCACTTGTTTCTATAATAATTGTAAACTGCTATATTAGCAATGTTTCCCTTTCAAATATATGAGGGGGCAAATGGCAGCCATTACAAAAAAACAACCATCTGTAGGGAGTGGGGGTGGCAAATATCCGTTTACAGCTATATTATTTAATGTTTAATTTATTAAATCTGATGAATTTCATATGCTCCTGGGCATATAGTAATTGAACCATCTGTCTGTCGAGGTAAACCTAAAACTGATTAGTTGGATATAAGATATAGTATGTCTAAGTTCTACCTGTAGCAGTGGCTTCATAAGTTATACACTTATCAATAAAAAATACCGTACACTATCGTGGCAAGTGACATTACTATGACTTCCATTCTCCCCAAGTTATTGCCCGTTTAAGCACTTTGAAAATTGACATGGTTAACTAAACTGGCAATGTGGATCTATCTTAAGTTCTAACTGTACTTATGGCTTCACAATTACTTATACAAAGTACATGAAATTGCCATGTTATAAACTATGTCATCCATTTTTTCCAGTTATATAGGAAATAGTTCTTGGACTTGAGTGCAATATTGCATGTTATGGGATTACAACACTTAACTATCTGAGAAAAATGGATGGCACAGTTTAATACTTGGCAATATCATGTTCTTTGTATATTATTAAATAAGTGTTTAAATTTAAAGAACAAACCGTTAGTACAGATTGAAATTAAGATACATACCCAACTTGCAAGTTTAGGTACCCATATCCATTTTCAAAGGTTAAAAATGGCTCAGATGCCAAAAAAAAATGTAAAAACAATTTTATTACGAATTTTACACACAAGCCTAAAAACATATTAGCATATTATTACGAATTTAAAATACAAAAATTGGAAAGTAACCACTTTATTACCAATTTCACATATACATGTAATACACACAGATATACACACAGAATTATCTTTTCAAAATAAGTGTATAAAGTCAGATTAATGCTTATTCAAGTGATTTTCACCCTCAAAAGTTATGTACATGCTCTTATATGAAGTACGAGCGCATTTTTAACAAATAAAAACAAAGTATAACATCAATAAATCACATTTAAGGAAAGGCAAACATAGAACAGAACCATTTATCTACAGTATGTATGCATTATTATGCATTATTCACAACATATATTTAAACACAAAACACACGAAAAGTTAATCTACCTTTTACGGGGCATTAACATTTGCAAAACAAAAGGGCTCAATTTAAAGCCCGAGCCGGCAGGGCGAACACCCACAAATGTTATTATTATGACACAACTGGCTCAAACCAAGGCCACCGTCATGATTTGCTCGTGCGCTCTTTGCACCAATACCTTGTGGTTTCATTTTGTGAATTATTCGTATATATGTGTGCAGTTTTTTTTATAAATCTGCCATAAGGAAAAGATTACCAATGATGCTGCAGCTAAATCAAAGTGAAATCAGAACTCACGCTTAAGCCATGTTTGTTTATACAAATTTATTTTAGTTCGATTGTGTTGGAAGCTATAAGCTTATTGAAACAATCCATTCTTGGAACCAACCCGTACTAAGCAATGAATGTAAAGTTTCTTGCTCAAGGAAACAACGGCTTGCCCCTGACAGGGTTTGAACCCACGCGGTCAGCAATCCTTAGATTACTAGTCCGGTGCGTTAACCACTCGGCCACGCCGCCACTTAGCCATGTTAGAATGTGAGCATAATGAATATCAGTTTGCAAGACATTTGAAAGTTGCACGATCGACAATGACATGACTGTTCGACACATGAACATTGCTGATAGGCCACATTCAGGTACGCTTGTGTGATAGGTCACATTCTGGTACGAGTCGTGTGACAAACATTAATTAGAGAGGATAAATTACAGACGTTAACGTCATTTACGTGACAAATGTTTGAAGGGAGAATAAAATTACGTTTGAGATCATTTGTAAAAATAAACACATTGTCTCGCGGTACGTTTTCGCTTGCCCCGTGGCTAGTTTTAGCTAGAAAAATAAACACATTGTTCAGCGGTACGTTTTCGCTTGTAAAAATAAACAAATTGTTCCGCGGTGCGTTTTCGCTTGTAAAAACAAACACATTGTCCTGCTCTACTTTTTTGCTTGTTAAAATAGACATTGTCCCGTGGTGTGTTTTCGTTTGTAAAATTAAACACATTGTCCCGTGGTGAGTTTAAGCAAGTAAAATAAACAAATTGCATCGTGGTACGTTTTCGCACATTGTCTCGCGTTGAGTTTTTGCTTATAAAAATAAACACATTGTCCCGGGTGGAGTTTTTGCTTGTAAGAAATAGATGCCTCGCGACATACTGTTGCTTGTGAATATTGTTGACCTTTGTACCTTGACGACAAATGTTCAAAAATAAAAAAAAACAACCCAATAAAATCAAAACATGCCATTCCAAATGCATTTTTGTAAAAACAAATGTATTTGCCATGTTTGTTCCGTTTTCTACAAATCAGATTTTTTTTGTTTGTTTTTTTTTTTAAATATATATTTAGCCATGCTTATAGGTAGAAGTCATCGTTGAGATTGCCCTGTCATCTGTGTCCCTTTTTAACAATGATTTTAGCGACCGTTTGTTAGCGACAAATGCGAAAAACAGAAACAAACCTTGCGGAGCGTTAAGTAGAAGAAAGATATAGTCCAATGCATCAACGTTTAGAAAAAAACTGGCAAAGCCGAACAACCAGGTACCGCCAGTCAGGGTGGAGAGCCTGGCGTAAATATGAACGAAATTTCGGTTGTCGTTGTCGCTCTGTATCTTTGGGACGTTTCTTAGCTGTGCCATCACGACAATAAAGAGAATAATATTGATGACAACTATAGCGGCCACCGGCAACGCGAACGCGTACGCGATCATAGACCTATCGTTTATATAACACGTGGCGCCGCCGTATCCAATATCAATCCCTTTGCTTCGATTTAAGGCCGCGATAATATTGGCAATCACCAGAATCAACGAGGCTGAAAAGCTGTACAAGAAATAAATAAATGTTGTTTTAGAGGTGTTGTAAAAGGTCTGCCTAATCTGACTTAATCTGAAAACGCGGACCATATGAATACAGCAAATGTTCATCCAGAAGATCAGAAAAAGCCAGGAAAAATGTATGAAAATACCGATAATTTTACAAGCTTCCTTTGATATGATACAAGGATCTCCACTTTGAAATAACACTTGTGCTACTACCAATGCTATACACAAGATTATGTTATTAATACCGGGCTGTGTGTGCTTCAGTCTCTTGAATCTTAGGTAAAAGAAGAGTGTTACAAGGGCGAACGCTAGAGATAAACTGATACATATTAGCGATAAGATGGACTGAAAGGAAACTTTTTCATCACAAAAATTATACTCAATAAACGGGCTCATAACGTCCTTGTATGTCTGGATACACATAAAGAGGTGTGAGATTTCATTATGTTCACCTTGAAGAACAACACTATACGTGTTGATGGCGGCATTTAAGATTGCGATGGTGACAACTTGCTGCTCTCGTTCTATATAATAAATACTTCTGTTTAATCTAACGAAGGGGCAAGCATATAAAAGATCAAGATAAATATGTGGAAACCTTTGCTGGTAATCATCTTTGAAGACGAGTTTCGTATGTCCTGGAGTTGGGTCGTATAATGAAGGATTTAATCCATTTTCATAAGCAAGTAGGACCATCGTGTAATTCACAAGATTACCTGACACAAATGTCTCCATTGATACGTCTTTAACTGACAGCATATAATCAATAATATCGGTTTTAGACGGAGGAAATACATCACAAGTTACGCGAACATCAATGATAAAATGTGTAATATTTTCACTGGTTTCGTTAGAAGAGTTTATTTTTGCTTTGATCTCGAGATAAACGCTTGAAGCTGCGCCAATTTTCTCCGTCAGCCAATCTCGAAAAGTTTCTTCAATCTTGTTAACGACGGTATCAGATAACTGTATTATGTCTGAAGGTATCAACTTTAGAACCAGTACATATGTTATTCCGCCTATGTATTCAGTATGATAAACACATTTGCCGTCTTGAAGTATTTTGGGAAATTTGCACATGATTTCATAGCAGATTTTCTGTAAAAAAATCAAATAAAAACTAAGATATCGATAAAATAATTAACGAAATAAGTTTTTATGATGTGACAGATGGAATTAAAACCAGGGAAAATACATTAACATTTATATTTCTAATGATAATTTGACACTTAACACGTTACTTTGCTTGTTTGATAAACATAAACTGTACTTTAGTTGAGTAAACAAACTAAAAATATACTCGCATTTTCTCATTTGGTCATTGCATTTGCAGGAAAAAGTACAGTACATTATATTTACATATGTTTTAGAAACCGAAAGTACAAATTGTACATATACCGCTTGACAATATTTGGGATTTACATTTCTAGTTATTGACAATGGAAATTCTGTAACTGATTCAGATTGTCACATATATTTTTTCATAGTTATCCAAAATTGACTATATTTTCCGTTGGATGTAAAAATAAATACAGCCGTGAAATAAAGCATTACTATTAACATAAAGTCACGTGGTTTAGTTTGCTTTATTAATTCCGGGAATATTATGAATAATTGTCAAGGTGTTCTAACTGTTATGTCCGAGGTCCGTATCTAGAATGCTTTAGAGTCACACCAAATAGACCCAGTTACAAAGATTAAGGCTTAATTGCGAATATTTTCAATAAATACAAGCACAAATTAAAATAGATTGATAAACGCTACGTATATCTGATTTTTTTTAATAAATTAAGCATGAAATATTTTTAGGGTTAAAAGACAATTAATTGTATACGTTGGTCGGCCGCTACTCACATTTATACATGTAAACTTGGTGTGATAAAACATCATTATATATGTGTCATGTCTTTGCATTGTAAATAAACATATTAAATATTCATATTTAATAAAACTTTTAAACTTTGTCTCTAAACCTTGAATCGATATACATTTATATAATACATTTTGTGTGTTCAATAAAAATATTTTACCTACCTACCTCACTACCCTACCCAAACTAACATGGGTCTCGATGGAGGGAAAACAAAAAATAGGACTAACTTAGTTTCGAACAACGGGGTAATAACAAAATCCTAAACTCAAACCCTTATAGTTGAATATAATATATAGTTTTCAAATGCACACAATATCGATAGAAACTAAGTTTGTACCTTTACTGGATCGTGTATTTTGTTAGGCCCACATACGTCTGGCGTCGGCTTGATATCTTTCACTTTCAAGAGGTCGGAGAAGTTGACAATGTGGTCGTTAACTTTACACACTGATGGCGAAACAGTATCCCCTGTGTTGCATAAGTAGCAGAATACATTGTTGTAGTTTAAATTGAAAATTCTAGTGTATGATAAGCACGCCATCTCAAGCAATGGCTCATATGTTTTCCAAAGTCCGGTTACATTACACTCTTTTATAACCAGCGGACAATGCATGCCATCTAAAACCATAGGAAACGGCCTTTCAAATAATACGTTGCATTCCTTTGTTTCAAATACTTCGTGAAAGCTATTTGGTGGTCCTGATGTACCTTTAAATTTGAAGCACTCGGTTCTTGCTCTCCAGTTTATAAAATCGGTTTCGCTTCTGTTGTAACAAAGTGCACAAAATCGGTTTTTATATGTAACCCCATTTTTCTTGTCTGTGACAGGGACAAAAGTGTCCGGTTTATCCATCAATTCTTTACTTTCACATTTATGAAATATTTCACTTCCTGCGTCAAATGACTCCGGACATCGCGTATATATCTGAACGGTCGTATTCGAATTTGGGTATAATTTACTGTATGGGCGTAATTGTGGGTACATACAAAACAGCTTAACCTTAGATTGAAAAAACGTGGGCCATTTGTCATCGGCATCTGGGCAACAAGTATCGTCTGCGATACAACTGTCTAAATCACAGCTACATCTTGTTTCACAACAGTTCCTTTTGAAGCCCTTCGATATTGCAAGCGGTATTAAAGACATATATGGTGCGGAGACTGGATCATCTGCTTTATATTTCTCAGCAAAACAATATCTGTGACCCCTGCAGAATAAACTCTCCATTCGTAGAACTTCACCTAGGTCTATCTGATTTGAATATACGTTAAATTTCTCATTGAAAATACTGCATAACACCAGTAGGATGATCTTCATCTTTGGTACTGAATATTAACTGTAGGCAGAATCTTTGAAATAATTTTATAATACCTGTTTGTATAAGTTATTTCATTTTCCAGTGAGGGAAATATGTTTTATTAAAAAAAAAAAATTTCAAAATTTTTTTTCTTTGCTTTAAGTACATTTACAGTAAATAGATCACAATCTATGTTATAGCTCTGGAATACGTAGTTATTGACGGGACGAATGATTTCAGCGTATAACTGTGAAATACGTATTATTTGTGGGGGATTAATTTTCGTGGATTTCGTGGACCAGGTTAACCATGAAATCAAGTCCCGAGTAACAAATTGTGCCCAAGACAATGTAAATTATGCACATTTACTCAATATAGCATCATAAAAGTCACGAATATACGGCACAATATTTCTTTTTACCTGACATTTAAATCCCACGAATTTACGATCCTACGAAATTGTTGTTGTTTTTTTTTGTTTGTTGTTTTTGTGTGTGTGTGTGTGTGTGTGTTGTTGTTTTTTTTTGTCGGCAAACCCGAACTGTTCTGTCCTCGAAATAATTTCACAGTAATTGATTAGAAACAAACACAGGTAACGAATGTTTATGCCATTCAAAAATGGTCCTCTTCCGTTAAGCTGATTTCATGTTGGACTATTTCAAAAGCTCGGCCGTCTATGGATCATTTGTTAATAACTCGGTCCTAAACATCAGCTTTAGTCCTTATCTTAACAGAGTCAATAAGACGTAGATCTTTACAATGACGCATCTGTTTCGTTTCTATCCGTAAATAGTGACTTTTCTTCAAAAAGGATCTGCAATCTGAAAGAATTTTTACAGTAAAATATACAAACTTGTCCGTCAGATCACTCCATATCAAAGACTTTCTTATGTTGTAAAACTATATACATGTACTATATGATGAGACCGGATTTATTTCAATACTTTAAAAATTTGCAGACATCATCCGCTGGCCGGTATCTAGATTTTGAAAGGCATCGAAATTTCCTATTTTGCATTTCGGCTGGTGTATGTGTTAAAAATAAAATGGACTAATAACCAAAGTAAGAACGTATTTTCATAAATGTAACATTTTATCAAACTTGTTCAATGAATGTATTACCGAACGTAACACATGCACTGCACAGTTCTAAATTTAGCTTGGGTAAAACCTGAAAGCTTTAAAGACTGCCATTTAAAGACTGTCATTTACATTAATTCTCACATTGTTTCTTTTTAAGAAAATGTAACCATGTAAATCAAATTTACACGTACAGGATATTTTTCAGATTGTCAATTTCATCATATGAAGGCATTAATTAAACACAGATTTATTTATAAGGGTTATTTCTTTTAATACGGATTTCAGCACACTATTAAACATATAACACGGACATAATAATGATACTAAAATATCATAAATCAACTTCCATACATGTGTCAAAGAAATATCAGTTTTCATAGATGTTCAATGAATTTTCAATGAAAGGAAAAGGGAAGCGGAACTCGGACATTGCTCTAATTGTTTTATTTTGTTTAAAACACAAAAAACAACAACAACAACAACAAAAAAACAACAACACGTTTCTCTGATGTCAAAGTAAGAAAAAGGTTGTACTAAATTGATAAGTGCGTTATGTCAAGTTCAGTTCTCAAAATATACATCCTTGGTATCGGGCCAACCACACTGCGTTGCAATCGAATCTACGGCCGTCTGCGTTGTAATCATTCAATCAAATGCAATGCGTAGACAACGTACAATACGTCGACAGCCGTACTCGTATGACGGTCGGTAAGTACTTATCTAATTTTAACATATCCAAACTGTGTTCGAGTAAATCAATGTTATGAATTAACAGTGAACATCTAAAGGAGCCCGCTAACAATTTTCTGGTCCTGTGCAAGCTTTAATTTACGTGAATTTTGATTGAATTTTTGTTTGTTTTTTGTTTTGTTTTTGTTTTCGGTTTTACGTCACATCGACACAGTATAGGTCATATCGCGACGCTCCAGCTTAACTGGTGGAGGAAGACCTCAGGTCCGTACATTATTTCAGGCACGAATGAGTAGAACCACCGATGTTCCGTAAGCTAGCTAGATAGCTTCCTCACATGAAAGAATCCAAAAACCCTGTCGGAATTTGAACCCACAGCGGTGAGGGGCAAGTGGTTTGATGTCAACGACCTTAACCACTCGGTCATTGACGCCCCTGATTGAAAATAACAGCACTTTCCGATGAGATGCGGCATTTACAAAATAACATAAAAACTTACGTTTTCTCATGATAATAAATCATTTTAAGATACGATTCGTAAACGTCAACATTTTGTCATTAAATATTCCAAACCATTCCTTCAAAATAAAGGTATAGGGTATTTAAGATTGAATGTCTGCTAAATTTGAATAACGACATCAACCGTTCGCCTGTACTTGATGATAACATCGACATCCATGCACTAATCAGCAAGAATGAATAACGCTAAAACCCGTTCAACGAAACAGATTTTAGGGCTTTTGTGCTATAGTAACCAGGATAGAGTAAACTTTTTTTGTTCACTTAAAATATACATTAATTCATGATCTTTTCTAATGGACCTCATGCTTACGAAATCCATCTGCAATTCAGTAATTTTTAAATTGTCCGCCATATAAAATGTTTTTTAAGCATATCAATTATTTTAAAGTATGTTTTTTTTTTTGTCAATTCCTTAATAAGCAGGCAATAACAATTTCCCTTGTTTTGTGAAATATCATGCATACGGTGCGATGTCGTTTATTTAGGGTCGTGTTGTAGATATTCGCACGTGTTTTAACCAAATTAGGCGAATGTTGAGTCCCCTCGTCAAACTGAAAATAATTCGCAATTAATTGCACCGTTTGTGTGTAATAAGTTGGAAGAGTACTTTCCAGAAAAAAACATTAAAACATAAAGTAAAATCCAGTCATGAACATACATACATAATTATATCATAGTAATTCATGTTCCTTTTTTTTTTATTTTATTGTGTGCCAACTATATAATTACAGGTATATTTGATGTTATAAAGCATTATAAACATGAATGAACACGCTTGGAATTATCGATAGCACTAGAAATGAGAATCTTATAGCGAGAGCTGTTGTGTTCTTCGTTGAACCCTTATTTCTATTTTATTTTGTGCAAACCATATATTTAAAAGGTATTTCTTCGAACACGCTATCCTCCCGAGTGAGAACTCGCGTAAATCCATGACATTACCGACAACTATAGTGGCTGATTTGGTACGCTTTTGTGTGTCCAGTTGGCGCTAGTGACAACACGACAAAGCTCCAAACGACGCAATGTCGGACTTTCGTCTTGTCGTCCTGTCGCTAGCGACAACACGACAAAGCGCCAAACGGGGCCCTGTTGTCTTGTCTCTAGCGTGGCACGCCAAATGGTGCGTTGTCGTGCGGTGCGTTCTCGCGATGTCGCCCTGTCGCTTGGCTTATAAGCCAATCCTTCAATTTGAACCGAGCGATAATGTGACAGGAGACAGGACGACAAGACAACAGCACGACCAACCGCTTTCGCACCCCTACTAAACAGTGGCTCTTTCTAAGGTGTTCCGTTTGGACAATCGTGATTTTTTATTTCGTCCTTACCCGCGATGCACGATGGTACGATGGTGAAAACGCGCTTTCATCATCGTACCATATCGCGTTTTCACCATCGTTTCATCGCGCTTTCACCGTCGTACCCTCGCGTTTTCACCATTGTACTATCGCGCTTTCACCATCGTGTCATCGCGCTGTCACCATCGTACCATCGTGTCATCGCGCTTTCACCATCGTACCTTCGCGTTTTCGTCATAGTACCGTCGCGCTTTCGCCATCGTACCATCGCGTTTATATTATCGTGCAATCACGTTTTCACCATTGTACCATCGAGCCATCGTGTTTTCACCATCGTACCATCGCATTTTCATCATCGTACCATCGCCTTTTCACCATCGTGTCATCGCACTTTCACCATCGTACCATCGCGGTTTCACCATCGTACCATCGCGCTTTCACCATCGTACCATTGCGTTTTCATTATCGTGTCAGCGCGTTTTTACCATCGTACCATCGCGTTTTCACCATTGTACCATCACGTTTTCACCATTGTACCATCGCGCCATCGTGTTTATACCATCGTACCATCGCGTTTTTACCATTGTACTATCACGTTTTCACCATTGTACCATCGCGCCATCGCGTTTTTACCATCGTACCATCGCGTTTTCACCATCGTACCATCGCGTTTTCACCATGGTATCAATGCGCTTTCGCCATCGTACCATCGCGTTTTCATCATCGTGCCCTCCCGTTGTCACACATGAAACATAATTTCATTTCACATCATTTCGAAACTCGTCTACTAAGTTTTCGTGCATGCGAATCACCCATTGTAAGACTATACCAATTCAAATCATGAAAATTTACATATACATGTATATCTTAATATCAAAGTTATGATTTTTTGAAAGAAAAGACACACGCATTTAAAGAAATGATTCATCTTCTAATGCGGTATATAACAAGATTTTTTTTAAAGAAATCTGAAAAAAAAGAGTTTTTTTTTAGGATCGGAACTTGCAGCTGATGGATTACCATATAACTTTACCACTTTGCCATCGGGTGTTAGTATAAAATAAAGTATTGAGAACTTTTCTATCATTTAAAATCAATTAGTAAACCGTAAATTACGAAAACTAACAAAACGGCTTCCAAAAATTAATGAGTCTCAGGTCAATGTTGCAAAACAATACCCTTTACATTTTAAGCATTTGAGTACTCTTACCTGTTTTAATGTTGAATTGAAATAATCATAAGAATAACAGCCATCTCACGTTTTGACTTCCTTCCTCAGTTGAATAAATACGGTCCTTAACTTACCATGTCTTTTATACCAATGGCAATAGTTATAAATTATCACCGGACGCAGTAATTTATTTTTTACTTTTTGAAAAAAACATTCTTTCAAGTCGATAATTATCCATATTTATTAAGTTAATTAAAGTAGTTACATTACATTCTTCAATTATGACTTAGTTATGTTGCATGACTCAGCTTTAC